GGTCCGGCTGGCTGAAGCCCGGCTGACTGAAAGCCGGTTTCTGGGGTTTTGTTTAGCTTCTATATTTGCAACATAGTTGCTTAGAGTTGCAGCTGAGAGGCCAGCAGCGGCAGGCAGGGAACACAGAGTTCGCTGTCACTGGAGCAAGCAAGCCTCCCTGTTCGCTTCAGTGCATGGCTGCCGGCTGCCATCTTGGCTGACAGTTAATTTGCATAAGGATATGCTGATTAGCCAATGGGAAGGGTAGCGGTCGTACGCTAATTACCATGTTTCTCTTTTATTAGTGTAGATCAGGGAGAATTAAGTACTAACTGATTTGGTAATGTTTCTGATGCTATGGGATTGAAACAAAGAGGAGTAGTGGGCTAGTTATGACTGTGAGTTAATGGCTTCACCTTTCTGAGTTCAGATTCCTCAGAGAGTATAAATGGATACAATAATGCTGACCTCATAGAGTTGTTATAAATGTGATTATAAAACTGTCTGGCACATAGTAGGCCCACAAGTATTAGTTGAACCCGAATCTGAATACAATTATGGAGCATCTGGTAGAGAGTAACATGAGTCTGTGAATAAGGCACTTTTAATTGGCAGCAAATGATTGGGCCGAAAAAAGCAAAGGATTTGTGTTAGGTTATACCATGAAGTTTAAGGAGCCAGGTAGAGTGGTCTGTTGTTAATCATGAAGCAGAACTCATTGTTAGTGTTTGAGCTGGTGTGGCAGCTCTTCCCCGAACGTGATGGTTTCCTCATCTCCTTGGACACTGCTAGATCGCATACCCAGACTCCCTTGCAGCTAGGAGTGGCCATGTGATGGAGACCAAGCCAACAAAGCATGGGTGGAAATAATGTGTTCCACTTCTAGACTTAGCTCATAAAAACCTTGTATACATGTCCTTCTTTGCACTTTTCCTCTTCCAGCTGGCTTAGATGGCACCTCCATGGGTTATGTGTTAGAGATGCCAGAACCCCTGTCTACCGAAGTTCCTCAGTGGCTTTGCCACCTCCAATCTGGAAGCATCTTGGATGATTACAAGAAAACCATTTTTCATTGTGCTGATACCATTAGGTCTTTTTGTAACCATAGTTTAAAATAACAATCCTAGCTAATCCAGCTAGGGAGCCACATGATGAAAGCAGTGCTTTAACAAAATGGCATATTTGGGGTAAAGACGAAATAATAAAATGAGAAGTGTCTTTTATTGAATATCTAGTGAATGCTTTATATGAAGATGATAATGATGATGTTAACAGTAATAATAAACACATAATGTTTACTATGTGCCAGTACTAACTATTCTAAGCACTTTACGTATATTATGTCCATTAACTAATTTTAATTCTCTGATCTGTACTGGGTGAGTACTACTACTATTATCCATAGTATCCACATCTCACAGATGGATAAACAGAGTCGCAGAGTATTTGAATAACTTGCCCAAGATCACAAAGCTATATATAAGGTCTCATTTGGTTCTTTCAACAGCTAATTCCATGAGATAGGTTTTATCATTTCCATTCTGCAGATGAGAAAACTGAGGCTGAGAAGACCAAAGTATATTTGAGGACACAGGGCCAGGAAGTTGGAGATTCTGTGCTTGGCACCCAGGAACTCCCAGAGCATATCCCTGCCGCGTGGTCCCCACACGTCTCTGGAAGTCAAGAAATCAGCTTGGAGTCTTCTGAGACCTGAAGAGCCTCGAAGGAAGACTTTATTTACACTTTATTGTCAGCGCTCATTATCCAATGGGTTAATCTACCTCTCCATCTTTCATTAGACTTAATACTGCTTTTCAGTAAAATAAATAATAAGCTTGGATTTCGCCAATCCCCGGGAATCCCATACATGCTACATTTCCTGCGGGGACATGAGGCTTTTTGCATCTTTCTCCTATAAGAATGGCTATAATCGATTTGAGGGGCCTCGCCAGGCAACAAATGAATAGAGTAATGGGTTGATTAACAAATCCTTAAGAAGCTACTTTATAGTAAATTGCGTGTTGTTTTTTTAATTAGAAAGAAAATTGGTGCTAACAACACTAGAGAATATTGCAGCCAGGTAGGATAAAAATGTCCCCA